ATTCCTTTGTATCGAACTCTGTGGAGATCCGAGGTATGCAGAGCCTCATCGGTGCTGTAGCCCCACAGCTCCTTACGCACACGAGCATGGAGCTCTTCAGCAAATGCCTTCATGGTGGACAGATGGACAAAGAAGAAATGAGACACCTGTTCCCATATTGTATCCAGCTGCCTCTGAATACTGGAGACATCACAGGACTATATGCCCGCAAGCACAGATTAAAAAGTAGGGTGTCAGCTTGAGAAACATAGACAGAAGTTCCCTTCCCTAAACTAAACTGTAGACTCTCAGACTCCATTGTTCATCAGACTTTAACAATCCCAGCTGAGTTGGCGACTGATCAGAGCAGTATAATGTAGATGAGCGCTAGTAGTCAATGCAATGGCTGAGAGCTGAAACCAAGCACCTCTAACATGAAACGCCTGCACCCCTGCAGTTAATGGCCATGAGTTTGAAACAAAAAGAAGAAAGGATTTTTAAATGGCTAACCAGCTGTTACTTGGACGTAAACCTGGCGTTACCGTGCCAACATTGGCGCTTGTACTGTGGTATAATTACCAAGGAGGAGAAAAAGGTGTGATCTGCCGCATAAAGTTTTTAATATTTTACAGGAAACAGTACCTCAGCTAGTCGATCGGCCAGAGCTTTGACCATGATGCTATTATAGTCGTCTCCCTGAGCTTCAAACTGCTGACTCAGCTCTTCAGCTCCAAACACGCCCACAGCAAACAATCCAACGTAGTCTGCCACACCGCTGTCCACAGGCGCCACAAAGTCCGACACACACAGGTACGGCTCGGAGGAGGAGCCATCCTTCTCCACCTGCAGCACAAATACACAACACTGCTGAAACAACACTGCTGAAACAACACTGCTGAAACAACACTGACAGAAAGGAGACGGTTGTGTGTTTAAAATGAATATATTACAATATTTATACAGGACACGATGTTAAAGATGTCTGTCGCAGCAGGATAAACCAGAGTCCCTCACCTGCTGCCGTAAGCCGTGGAACGTGGTGATGGGTTCTGTGTCCCCGTCCACTGCAGCGTCGTCTTTGTACACCCTGATGTCGTCGCCGTTACTCTGGGCGCGCCAGAATCCCACCAGGCCCCGCCCCTTCAGTCTGCAGTCATCAATCATCTGGTGGATCAGCTGCTGGGCATCGTCAAAGAGTTTGCGAGCTTCTGAACCTGCATCACAAAGATCACGAGTTCAGTCGCTTTCCCTGAATTCTTCCTGTAAGACCTGCAGTTCATCCTGTTTCCTCTTCTTGAAGCTTCATACTTTTAGTTTTCAAGACGTGAGACCATTTCTGATCTTCTGTGAGAGGTTTTTACTGCATTTCTCAACGACAGGATTTTCTGATACTGCTCCTGTGCTGCAGACGTTTTTCTTTCCACTTGTCCAGTTTCCTTACATTTTTGAGGAAGCGCTGCACGCGCCCAGACATCCCACGTTTTTAGTTAATAGCTCTTTGGAAATGGCCCTGTTGCTGTAGGAACACTATTTCATGCCTGTCAAGCTGTGTTATCTTTGCCGTGTGATGTGCAAGAGGCTGCTGGTAGCACAGTGGCCAAGTTACAAATCAGGTACAAGAACTGGGCCTAAAACAAAGGCGCAGCCGCTGTACCAAGAAAACCCCTGAAAGACCTTCAGAAAGAAGCAAAATGTAATCAGGGCGGTTCAAGACTTCTTCATGGCTTAGTTTGTATGGTCTGATTCATTAATCAGTAAATTTGACTTTTTCCTCTCCTGTACTCCACTTGTATCCATTTATAATCGAATTTTAACCATTTCCTACAGTACAGGTGCAGTATATATTTATATATTATTATATTTCTAAATAACCCTGACTGAGCTCGTACCAACGGTCTTGTCGTTGAAGATCTTCGGGTATCCCCTGTTGGGGTATTTTCCTCTCAGCTGCCACACATCGAAGAACGGCTTCCAGTCGATGAAGTCCAGCAGGCTGTTCAGATCGTACAAGTCAAACACGCGAGTGCCCAGGAACTGAGGACAAACTGAAACACAGAGAAGTCTGCTCACAGTTCTGTATGTGCCAAGGACAACCAGGGCTGCAACCATTCATCGAGTGATTCAAATAATTAGATCATTTAAAACAATTCTCAACACAAATTCTTTGCTTCTGTAGTGCGCAGAGTTTTAAACAATGTAAATGTGACCGTTTCACCCACATCTGCTACTAAACACCATCTGCAATACAAATGTATTCAGGAGCAGTGCATGAAGAAAAGGTCAGAGTCTGTTCACCACGAAGAGCAAAGAGGCGGAGCCGTTACCGAGGCAGAGCCGTTACCGAGGCGCCGAAAACGAGTGTCTAGTGTGCTAAACAGCAGCGCTGCTCCTGTGATTATCATTAAAGACCAGCAGGCGTCCTTCATCAAAGCACCGGATCAACAAACTCTGTAGCTGCTCCATCACCTGCTCTTTACTTTACACAGCAGACAATCTGCAGGAACCTGCAGTTCAGAAGAAACTCTGAAACACCCGCATTTTTTCCCTTTTGTATATTTATTATTGCTAATAAGACAAAAGTATTTCTCAACGATTACTCGATGGAATTATTTACAGATTATTCGATAGCTGCAGCCCGAAATGCAACATTTCAATCTTCATCAAATGCAAATATTTTAGCACCTTATTAAAATCTGACACATTAATAACAACAACAACAACAACAATGATAATAATAATTGTTGTTGTTGTTTTAGCACCTTATTAAAATCTGACACATTAGGTAACAACTACTGCTGGTCATTGCTCGACTTGCCTGGCGGGGGCAGAGAGCGCCAGTCTATCTTTAGCGCCGCCTCTCTAGCCCGGGACAGAGGCAGGTAACAGCGATCCTGAACACACAGGGAGACAGTTGATTATGTTACAAGTATAACTCAGTGTGATCTACATATTTATTCACATGTGCCACGAACAGTCAAGCATGTGATTTCATTAACAGCAGCTCTGCTGTACGATGGTAAAGGATGGAGAAACCGCCGATCGGTCACAGGAAATGTTCCATGTTTGGTTTCTTCTTCTGGCTGCTTTTACCTTCAGGGAGTCATAGTGCTCTTGTCTGATCTCCTCATACTCCTCTTTCAGCTCCTCGAAGTACTCTTCCTTTGCTGTTTCATCCAGCAGCTGTGAACACTGAGACAGACCAGGGAAACAATGTAACCACACGAAGCCTGTGTGCTGGAAAAACAGATTTCAATCCCGTAC